AAGCATCACTTCCTATTAATCTGTTGTAGAACTAGAAGCACTTATACCTCGCACAACAACTGGACCAATCAGAATACCTGGAATCACTTGTTAAAGTTAATCATTAAAGATGTCAATGAGGATTCCGATGTGATTAGCGAGTATAGATGTGGGACTCTCTATGTTTCCCAAACCCAAGATTCTCTCAATTTTTGTCGCAAGCAAAAATGTCGAAAACTGAGCTGAAGATTCATAAATAATTTCTCATTCAGAAAAATAAAAAACCGAGTAGCTTTATTCGAATGAAATGTTTGTAATATTGATAAAGAAGAAGCCAAAGATAAACAAAGTACTTTGAAACATTAGTTTCTTGTCCGTTTATTGAAGGAAACTTGTAACCTAAGCTAAATCTACTGGGGGAACTATTTTAACAGCATATAATTAACTTACTATCAGTTTATCAGAATCAAGCACTTTTTGTGAATAAAAGTGGTTAAAATGCCAGCAATTGCTAAGCTTTCTTGAAGAAAAGATACACAACCCAATTTAGTTGATGTAAACAGTTTAAACAATATTTTTCAACAAAAGTCATTTATATTCAAAATAGACTTATTATCCATTAGACTCCTTGTAACTAAAATATGTACATTTTGTTTAAAGATGTATCATCGATAGTTATTAGGAACATATATATATATATATTAATTCTTAGGAAATCAATAGTTATTTTAAATCAATTCAAACAACAATATAACAATTAGACAAATATGAGTTTTTCAAAGTATCATATGTGCCTCGATAATGAAGATATACACAGTGTATACACTTGCTTCAGTTAAGATGAGTGTAACAGATAATGAGTCTATTTTGGACATAATTGACTTTTGTTGAAAAATATTGTTTGAACGTTGAAAATTAGCTCAATTTAGTTGACTGTTTTTTCTGCAAAAGAGCAAGTTTTGTCCACAAGAGGTATACGATCTAGATAAACTGGCATTAAGTTAGTTATACACTATTAAAGTACTTTCATTGCATAATGTTTTTACAGAAGCGAAAATTTGACAGTTTTTAACCAAGTTCTTTATATGAAATCACAATGATGCTTCGAGTCAATTTCACCCTAGACAATAGTTTATATGCCCAACTCAATAATAGTAGAGTTTTTTCTTTCTTTTGTTTGAGAAATAAATAACAGCCGCATTATGTACTCATGCTAAGTGAAGAAATGAATAATTATTTTGGATATCTCTAGAAATTTATCATCACTATGTTATAACAATAGATTTTGAAAAACTACTTGTATAGATAGATAAAGGGCAAAACCTTTTACATGGTTTGTGCCGAAAATAATTTTAGAAAATTGAAAACTAGCAAAGATACATGCGTTAGGTTCAAAAAGTGTCTATTTCATTATATCTTTATCTATTTGACTCTATTCCATTCGCTCTCATCTTAAAACTCTCATGAATAGAGCAAAACTTCCAAATAAAATGACCTTAAAAATAAATTATATATCAGTTATACCATCGTTCAAGTTTCTTCTTACATAGCCAATAAAATCAATAATAAAGGCTTTGTTGCAACAGAAATTAACATGTAACAGAAATTGATTTTAGTGTGAACATTCAAAAATGCATATAGAATTATACGATAAATCTGACTAAGTTGGGTTGAATCGTCGGGAAACAATGTTTTTGTGTTAGAGCTCTATGTGACATACCTTTTAATTACAATGTGCTCACAGATTATCCTTAGAAAAGATAAAATCGTACGAAGTATTTTTTCATGTTCAAAATGAGTTGCAAACATTCCACTTTAGTTTTAATTACATATTCAGAAAATGTCCGTAAAGAAAATAAGTATGTAATTGGTCGACATGACTTCTTTTTCTTATGAAAGACAAACGTTTGTTTATACGAATAGCTAATTATCTATTATACTTCACTCATTTAAAGCTAAACTTTCATTTGAAAAAAAAACTAGTTCTGGTGAGTGTCTTCTAATTTCCTGTGTTTCTGTCGTTTGAAAACAATTAGATATCATCATATCGTTTGAAAGGTATTACGGACATTGACTGTTTTTTTATTTAGTCAAAGAAAAAAGTTATGACATTAATATATTTCTTTTAATTCGACAATTACAACATGAATATTTACTACACTATAGCATCGATTTGAGTCGATTAGTTTTTATTGTTGCTATATAAATAAGTGGATTTAAAATTATTGAAGTTTTTGCTATGAATGCACATATTGTCAGTAATACTGATTGTTGACTAATATGATTTACATCAAATAAACAAAATAACACCACAACAGCGTATCGTGTCCAACTAAATATTCACTAACTAAGAATATTGTTGCCAAACCAAAACATTGATCAGCTTTCAAACGCTTTAATCGCATAATATTATTCATTTGCAAGATACTCATTTGGCGAACAGCTAATGGAGAAGTTACATTGATTGAAGTTGCTGCTATAACAAAACGACGTTTGTCACATTTTGTTGTTTAGCTATTACTTAACAATGAACTACATGAAGTTGATTGAAATTTCTGATCAGAGATATTTAATATAAAGTTGTGTTGTAATACTCTTGTTGCACCATAAAGTAAAGATCGAATTTTACAATAAACATATATATTTATAATTGATAACATAACTAATGGAATAAAATAAATGAATCCAAAAGCAAAAATAAAATAAATACGTGAACTAAGTGATCGATCAAACCAATCT